AATTAAAACTATTCATTATTAGCTTATATTCTGTGTGAATATTTTGCTAACTTTAACTTGTAAGAAGATTATAACTGTTCAAATTATTTTATTTAAATTATTTTGTTTAAGCATTCTACTTAGATATTTATTTGAAGAGATAAACCAATCAAATTCAAGATATGAAATATTAATAGCATTTAATTAATATTGTACATTATGCGCAGAAAAGTGTGTAGTAAAATTTCGCAAGAAACATTTTTGTTAGAATACAGAGCTATTTTTTTCTTTCCGTTACACATTGATCTTGCTATTTGATTGGTTTACCCCTTAAAAATAATCACGTGGCCCAAAAAAAGGTGTATTCATAGAGTTTAAGATTAATTTTATTTCAGTCTAAGTGTCGTGTACTGTATAAAATAGTGCGCGTTGAAAGTTTTCTCGATAAATTTATATTATCAAGACTACATTAATAAACATTCTTATTACCCTTTACCACCGCTTCCTCCTTCGCCACCCCGCTTCGAAGCAGGCGTCCACTCTTCGGGTTCAAATGTATCGCTAGGTGCAACGGATGGTTGATAATCAAGCAAAGGGAGCGTGGTAGTTGGTTTCGTTGTGTTCTGTGTAACATTCGCTGCTTTTTGTTTTTGTAGCTGCCGTTTGCGCTAAATTCAAACGAAAATATTTTTAAAAAATATTCTCGTCAAAAATAGCAATATTAAATATGTCACACCTCATTCCATTCCTGATCCAATTTATTCGCTCGTTCGATAATCATTTCGCGTCTTTGGTTTGCTATTTTGAGTTCCTATGAAGATAGAACACGTGATTAAGAATTAAGATTCCACTTAAATCCATTGATTTCCAATTTATTTTACCTCGATCGTTGGTGGATCGAATCGTGTATGCCTTAACCAACTTTGCCATTGTACTGATCCAAATAAAATAAACACATTCATTTATCTTATGAACACAAAAACCTCTAATATTAATTATAATTATAATTATTGTAATGATTATTAAATTACCAGGTATTTCATCTCCCGTATAATCACTATATTTTTTCGGTTGTTTCAGATCGACCATTCGCTTTGGTCGATTACTACTGCCTAAAACTCTAGTTTCGTAGTATTCGTTTCCATCCAAATCTGAACCAACATAGAATCTGGATCGCCATGGAAAACGTGTTTGTTTCCAGGCTAAGGCTAAACGTGATAATGACATGGTTTGATTTGTGACTTTTTTATTTTTTTTTGGTGAACATATAAATTTTTTGAACTTGTATCACGTGGTGATTCAAAGATGGTCGATCCTTTGAATAACACATAACTATTTGATATCGATATGTGTATATGTATATATATGTATATATATATATATGTAAAAATCTACATCTCATAATCTACAATAATTCAACTAACCCATCAATCAAATAAGATGAAATAGTTTCGTAACGAAGTGCATAGATCCCATTTTTCTCCAGTTTAATAGTATCTCCGGTACTATAGATTAATTCAATCAAGAAGTAAAATAATTCAGTTTAAATGACATTTAGCAAAAGAAAACGCGTTAATACTAATATAAACCAAACATCCTTACGTATCAGATACATTTAATTCACCTAGATCCTCTTTCACTCGGCAAAACACAATTCTTGATAAGTCTAGAGATACGACTATGTTTAAAATCAATTATCATTAAATTTGACATATTTCTATAATAGAAAATATTTGTCACGCTGTGGGTTATCACAAAACATCATGCACAGCCATGATGTTCAAATATGATATTAGGCTAGGCTGTGCGTGGAATGATTGTTTAATATCAAGGAGACTAGCCTCCGTAAAAATATCAGTAAAAAAATTCACGGAGAAACACTTAGGAGGCTTGATATAGAAAAAAGAAATTGGATACGAACGTAAATCAGACTCTTTCTCCCGTAATTCTACCGGTATATTCTTCCAGACCAAATCATCAAAGTGCTTATTAATCATATTCATATAGCTGCATAGCAAATCAAAATTAATCAAAGTGAAAGAATGATGGAAATAATTAACAAAAAATCAAATACTCTAGCGCGAAGATTTTTTCAGCATCGGATAGTCGATCAATATATTCATTTCGTTTAAGAATAAGTGCACATTGCGACTCAATCTAACCAATAAATAAAATAAGAGTAAATCGAGTTTATTTCATAAAAAACACCAAAGTCAACGACCACCAAAAATCAACCTTTGTTAATCTTGTTCTTAGATAACATCTTAAATAATGACACGCGCGTTCCTTATCCATCAACTCTACAAAGTCTTTTTCACTCACACGCCTCATTCGGCTTTGACGAATTTGCGTTTCTCTGACATTCTAATTGTGATTTGATTTTACAAAGATAAAGATCAAAGTATTTAACGTCATTATCTCGAAATCCCTCTTTTTCGATAAATTAAATAACACTCACTAATTGTTTCAATGAAGCAAGTAACTGCTCAACGTCATTCGTCAGATAAGGTAACAAATCTGGGGCACAACGTTCATTAATGTAGCCTTGTTTAATATTATCATAATGAGAAGTGATCACATTTTCAATATCCATGAGAAATGTCTCATTTTCTTCATTATCATTATCTAACAGGTTAATTATTTGTTCTTCGACATCTTCCTCGTCAAGACCATTCATAGAATGGTTATAATTTAAAGAGGAATTAGCTTTATAATTTGTTCTAGTGTTGCCATCATCGTTGTCATTTATATCAGCATTATTAATATTGTCGTTATTGTCGAAGACGGAGGAAGTTGAAGAATTAAGATGAAATTCTTGAATAGAGTCGTGAGTTGTCATTTTAAAAAACACGCGTTGGCATGAGAAAAAAGTAGCCAATCATTGACATTTACCCAATCAGTTGGTAAAAAAAGTTAAACAAGTAGTTAGATGTTCACGTAAATATTTTATTCACTTAGTTCTTTCAATGTTCAGAATATTAAAAAATTTCCTTCCTCCTCTTTCTGGACGTTATCTCTCGCTTCCAAATTACACGAGTTGACTATCTTTTGCTGGATTTGATAAAAACATACAACATTATCAAATTCTAGTTGTAGACAAAAGATATAAACATCAACAAATCTTGCTCGATTCACTTTATTCAACAACAGAAATGACTACCCTTCCTTCGACTGTGGAATTCGTTAATCCAGAAGAACTAGCGAAATTGATTAAAGACAAATCTAAAGTTCCCGGAAAGGATTACGTGGTGATTGATGTTAGGGGAGATGATTTTGAGGTGAGCGACAGCCAAGATTCAAGTTATACAATAGAATAATGGGTAATAATTATTTTTTATAGGGTGGCAACATTCCTGGATGCGTGAATGTTCCGTCTGGTGTGTTTGTGGATAATTTGCAGCATTTGATAAAAGAGTATAGTCAAGGTATAAAAGCTAACCAACTGTTATATGACAACAAGATAATTATGACGCTTTTTGGTAATATTCCAAACTCCAAAAAATGAAATAAAGTCCCACAAATAGTATTTCACTGTGCTCTATCCCAAGTACGAGGACCAAAGTACGCAAGAATCTACCGTGAAGCATTAATGCTAAACTCAATAAAAACCAATCAAAAAATTCTTATTCTGTCTGGTGGGTTTGGCGAGTGGCAGAGACGGTTCAAGTCAGACGTGGAACTTGTGGAAAAATACGATGAAGAGTTTTGGACATACTTTGAGGGATGAATGTAAGAAAGCTAGAATGTACATTAATAATAATTATACCTGTTATTAGTATGGTAAAATCAGATAGTTTACTCAGAATACTTGCAATTAATTATAAATCAGAATAATAATTATAATAATTATAATATATAATCTAGCAATTTAGAGATATTTATTTCATCTGTTACTAATAACCTAGGAAATTTGGAACAAATATATTACAAGAAAAGTTATTTATAATTCTTATACTTATTTTAAAAGAAAATTCATACTCTTGACAAATATATCTAAAAATAAACTGGATGTAATATTATCTCAATTAGATAATAATTATAATTAAGTAATCATCTATGCTAGCAGAGAATTGTAACAGGGTTATGATAACCAATCAGAAAATTATGATAGAGTTACAGCTAGTTGTGACTCTTATTACT